ATTTTTTATTACTTGGTGCCATGTGAGTGCAATATTTTACCTGTTAAACAAATGTTCTATGCTCTACACTATTCTTGGGTGACATTGTATGTTTGATATCTTTCACTGGTTTGGTTAGACATTTTTGCAATTGCTTTCATTGAATATAAAAATGTCAGCTGTTTAAAATTTACCCAATAGAAGTTACAAGATTTTAAAAAAGCTTCATAGGTGATAAAGATATTTAGACACTGGCAGCAAGGAGACAAAAATGGAAATGAGACTTGTGCATTTCAAGGAAGAAATGTATGCTATAGAAAAATTATGGGACAAGATGGAATTCTCCCCTAAAGTATGAAAACACCAATTTAATGTTGTATGTGGGACCTAAACAAGCACTATGTTGTAGAACATTGGAAGTGCTGTTTGAACTTCTATGGCAAAGGAAAAGCAATTTTCATGGTACTTCCAATTTGGCATTTCTAAAAACAAATATAAATATCCCTTTTTTCCAATTATGTTTACCTAAAGTTTATTAGTACCTTCCCAGGCCAGGGGAGGGGCCTGAACATGGTGCTGTGAGGAGTAGGAGCTCCAGACACCCACCACGTTTGAAATCTATCTGCCTTACCTGAGGCCCAGGCCGGTGTGGTGTCAGATCCGGCGGGGACCTCAAGTTCTGGTGACCCTGCTGGCAGGTTGATAAATGTGGGTCGGTGGTGACCGGAGGTGGACCTTTGGGAGAGTCACGGGTGGCGGTGGTCTGAGAGGAGTGCTGGACCCCCAGACACCGACGGAGTGGGAGCTGGAGGCAGCAGGACCAGAGAAGACGGGGACTGTGAGAGCATCCATGTGATTGACCATGTGACAGCCCAGAGGACTATGGCGGCAGCTTTGAATGTGACAAAAAGTCCTAAAGAAACAGGAGAGCAGTAAGACAAGGCCGTCGGAGACCCTGAGATCCTGAAACACCCCAGGCCACTTGATACGTAGAGTCCCCCCACTGATCCACCTGGACCTTTCTGGAACTTGATTTGGAGGCCTTGGCAGGGACCAAAAGTGCAGCGTCACTGAATGATCCTATACGGTTGGCACGTAAGGTAGGGGTGAGTTGCCATGGGTAACGGCAGGACATTTAAACCTTTGTTGTTTCTGATATAATTATTGCAATCTAAAATACACATCTGCACTGGGGGGACGGAGAACTATATGAGGACTACATGAGCCGGGGTGTTTAGTGGTCGGTGGAACTGGCTAGATAATTACTCCTCCCAAAGTAACATAATAGAGGCGGTAAAAGTCATCAGAAGATAAGAAAAAAAACGGTCTTTCCTTCTAACTGTAAATCCTTGAACTAATGAAGAGTAGATCTGTTAGGGGGAGGATCAAAAACCCCCCAATCAAATGCAAATACAAGCACAATAATAAAATACATACCCATGCAGGAGAAAAGCCCAGAGACCCAAACCCTGAGGAAACAGAATGAAGGAATTAAAGAACGATGGAGATCAATCTAGATTGTCATTCGAGACACTGGAAGAGAGCCAGACTAAAGAATTTACAAACATGGAAAATGTAAGAGAACAAGGAAATATGGAACAGCAAGGAGCCACATCACAAATACCTATAAAAACTGAGATGGCCGAAATGTTCGCGAAACTAGAGATTCCATGAAAAATGAGATGGGGATGTTATGTAATGATTTGGGTTGAATACTAACTCGAGCTGAAAAAGTAGAGGGGAGAATGGAGGTATACACACAATTAATTAATTAGAAACACTGGTGCAGGTGATACATAGAGAACAGAGAAAGCTCTCATTTTATAGTGGAAGAGCAGGAGAATCGCAATAGAAGAAATAACTTAAGGATCTACAAGAAGAAGAGGAACAGGAAGAGGATCTACGGGAGAAAATAAAGAGTGTGTAATTTAATAATGGGAAGATCAGCGACAGAAAAGTTAAAAATCGAGAGAATACATAGGATTAGATGGCCAAAATGAGTACTGGCGGAAAAGCCCAGAGACGTGATAGTTCAATTTCATTACTTCGAAGAGACTATGGAAAGGTTTGCGTGTCTACTGAAATAAAATATGAGGAAACGTATTTTTGCGGACATAGCTCTAGAGACACTGGCTAGAAGAAGATCTCTAAAACTCTTGTTGGAGCATATGAGAGAGAAAAAACGTTCGCTATAACTAGGGCTTTCCAGCATGTCTAATCGGATGGAAAATCGGCAAGGCTTCGATTCCCAGAAGATCTCAATGACCTTTGTGAGAAATTAGATTTACAGAAAATAGACCTTGAAAGATGGTCAGAGGGGCCTAGAGAGAGTGGAGGGCAGGGATCAGGAAGATGGCAGCGGGTTTCTAAGAGGAATAAGTAGGGGGCGTGGGGTGGGGGTTGGAGGGGTGAGGTTTTAGAGTGTTTTCTTTCTCTCTCTCCTTTCCCTCTGGCCCTCCACAGCCGCACCATGGTTCCCTTGCCCCTGGACCCTTCCTTCTTGGTTGACATAACAGGCGGGAGGGATGGGGGAGCAGTGAGAACCTAGATCTGGCAGGCGGACTGCAAGCCAAGTATGCTAATGATACGAGTTCAGGATTGGGGTCAGCGTGCGTGTTTTGAGTCTTACCCCATATTAGGCATTACTAGTGGAAAGGGAGGGTGGGAAATGAGGTGGTGGGTGGGCAAACAGAGGGGGGGAGGGAAGAAAATAGGGAATTGTGGTAGGGAGAAAGTCCATATCTTAAAATTCCTGGATCTGTCTTCCTGTGATGGAATTCCTGGTAGTGTAGGGAAATAATAGTTGAAATGAGCTTGATTAAGTTTATGACTGATATAATGTGAAAGGGCTAAACTCTCCAACAAAAAGACATAAGATACTTAGGGAAATCCACCAACACTCCATAGATGTAGTGTTTCTTCAAGAGACACATGTAACCCATGATACAAATGTTAAGTTATACACAAAGTATTACGCAACGTGGTATTATGCTGATTCTTCAGTTAAAAGAGCTAAAGGGTAGCAATTTGGTTTTCAAAAAATATAAGTTTTTATCCTGGAGGGAAGAATAGAGGACCTGGAGAGCTGATTCCTATTTCTGAGAGGAAAATTACAAGGATCTGAATATACACTAGTTAAAATCTATTGCCAGAATAAAAATCCAGTAACATTCTTGGAGGGTGTGTTAAGAAAACTTCTGAATTTAAAAAGGGTAGTCTGGTGATTTAAATCTGTGTTTAAATCCTCAGATGGATGCATCATCATGTACGTGGGAGAGGGGGGGTAGGAATTCAAAACTATTGAAGAGGTTATTACATCAGTGTCAACTGACTGATACTTGAAGAGTAAACACGCAAGAGAAAGAGATTATACCTTCTCTCCAGTACATGGATCATATTGAAGATTGGATTATATAATGATCAAACATAGACAACTGGAGTCGTTGGTCAGTGCCAATATAGAGGTTACGTCCATTTCTGATCATGATCCTTTCACAATGAGACTACGGGTAGGAGGGGATCAGGATAAAATAACTGTGGAGACTAAATTAGATGCTTATACAGGATCCTGAATAGAGAAGGTTAGGGCAGGAAACTGGGTTATTCTTTGAGCTTAATGAGACTGAGGAGGTGTCAGTGGCCACAATTTGGGAGGCACATAAAGCATATATCAGGGACTTCTTGATCTCGATAGGAGCGTAAAAAAAAAGAAGGGGGAAAAAATAAAGATGGTGATGAAGGAGCTCTACAAGTTAGAACAGTCACATAAAAAGAAGACAGGTACAGATGTGTATCTGAAGATAATTTTTAAAAGAGCTTATGGAACAGGTGTCAAGAAGGATACTCAATAGGGTTTCAAAAGAAAGATATCAGTGGGGGAATAGACCTGGAAAATACTTAATGAGGAAGCTAAAAGAAATCTAAAAACTTTATAGAAAAATTAAAGATTATAAAGGAAAAAATGGTATACGCCACCACTGATATCGCCAATAGGTTCCACAAATATTATAGCGGGCTGTACAATGTGAGAGCCAGAAACCAAAAAGAAACTGAGGAAGAAAAGAAGAAAAACAGACAGAAATGCTTAAATTAAATGGAGTTGCCAAGAATAGCAGAAGAAAAATTAGAGGCTCTAGAGAGATCTATTACCCGGAAGAAATCACCCTGGCCCTAAACAATACGGCTGCAGAAAAGAGCCCAGGACCGGACGGATATACTGTGGGTTATTTAAAAAAATTTAGAGGTCTCCTTGTCCCTAAAATGTGTAGTTATATGAATGCAATTGGGGAGGGGATGGAAATGAGGGAGGAGTTATTGCAGGCACAAATAACGATTATACGTAAAGAAGGGAAAGAGTGCACAGTGCGCCAGTTACAGGCCCATATCCGTATTAAACATTGACACCAAATTGTATGCTAAGGTATTGGCAACCAGACTGAAGGAGTTGATGCCGGAGTGGATACACCTGGATCAGGTAGGATTCATTCCTGGAAGAGAAGATAGGGATAATGGCCTGAGATCATTGCTCCTCCTACAAAGGGTAAAAAGAGAGAAACTGTCGACAATATTCCTGTTGATTGATGCCGAAAAGGCTTTTGACAGGGTCAACTGGGGTTTCATGATCGATACGCTAGAGGCCTTGGGAATAGGGCCTAAATGTTAAGGTGGATAAAATGGCTTTATAGCGCTCCGTCAGCGGTGGTTAAGGTCAATGGATCCCACTCTCAGTTCTTTAAAATGTATAATAGAAGGATACCCACTTTCTCTTTTATTTGTTTTATCCCTGAAACCTGTCCTGGCGAGTGTAAGAAAGTGTGTAGATATAGCAGGAATAAAGACAGGGGAGGTGGAGCATAAGGTGGCAGCATATGCAGACGACATGTTTTTCTGTGTTGTAAATCCTAGAATAACATTGCCTAATTTATTGACATTATTAACCACCTCCCGTCCGGCCGTTGCATATAAACGGCCGGACGGTGGCACTGCAGGGTCGGGTGGCCGTTTATGAACGGCCTCCCCACACCCTGCTTGTGCGCGCTCCCTGGGAGCGCGCAGCACCGCGATCCGGTGCCCGCTGTGTCCTCCGGACACAGTGAAACACCGATCGTCGGACGGGACCTCTGTACGAGGTCCCGATCATGTGATCACTGATTGGCCAATCAGTGATCACATGCAAAGTAGTAAGCAAGATGTCACTTCTGACATCATTGCTTACTACGTGTGAAATCTGTGAATGATCACAGAGGTCACATGGTACAAGGCTATTCACAACAACCTTGTACCATGTGACAAGCTGTGATCAATCACAGCTCACTCAGTACTTCTCAATGAGAAAGAGAAATGATTGCTTTTACATCCTATATGGGTGTAAAAGCAATCAGTGTAAAAAAAAAAAAAAATCTTCATCACCCCCCACAAGCAGTACAGTGTCACCATGGTGACACTGTACTGCTAGGGTGACAGTATGTAAAAAAAATAAATTAATAAAAAATAAATAAAAAAAATAAAATAAAAATGTAAAAAAAAATGTTTAAAAATTATAATTTTTGGTTATAAACTAATTTGTTGTTTTTGTTTTTTTTTACTAAAAAGATAGCGGAATAAATTTTGGCAAAGATTTATGATGAAATATAATTTATTTGCAAAATGTTATAAAAAAAACACTTTTGTTCAAAATTTTTGGACTATTTCATTTACATAGCAAAAAAAATAAAAATCCCAGTGGTGAATAAATACCACCAAAATAAAGCTTTATCTGTCTCAAAAAAACGGTAAAAATTTAATTTGGGTACAGTGTTGCATGACTGCGCAATTGTCATTCAAAGTGTGATAGCGCTGAAAGCTGAAAATTGCCCTGGTTAGGAAGGGGGTAAAAGTGTCCGGTCTGGAAGTGGTTAAAACAGTATGGCGAGCTATCAAATTTGAAAATAAACCCTGCAAAGTCAGAGATTTTAAACATCGATATACCAAAGGTAGAGAAGCTGAGTCTACAAAGAATTTCCATTTACTTTGAGGGAAAAAGAAATAGGCTATCTGGGAATACAATTAACTCCTTCAATAAAAGGCCTATACCAGGCAAATTATATTCCATTCTTGAACAAAATAAAAGATGAGCTGGGGAGACTGTCAAAAGGTGTAGCTTCCTGGATATGTTGTGTAAATCTGCTAAAGATGGTGATAGTACCAAAAATCCTGTATAAGTTTCACATGCTCCCTGTACACATACCAGGATCTTTCTTTGGGATAATAAAGATGATGCTTAAGTTTATTTGGGCAAACAAACTGAGAATTAGGTATGAGTTATTGTGTAGGGCAAAAGGGAATGGAGGTTTGGGCATGCCTAGTGTTAAGAAATATTATCAAGCGGTAATATTATCACGAAATAGTAGACTGAATATTTAACTCACAAGGGAAAGGTTGGGTGAATATGGAAGGGATTTTGAGTAAGACACAGGGAAGATGGTTTGGGTACCACATAAATTTTGCACATTAGACGTGAATATTAGTCCACTGACAAAGAAAGTTGTAAGTGTTTGGGATAGAATGTATAAGCAAAAGGGATGGAAATATAATTCAGTTATGATTCCCTTGGCGGGAATGGCGTATTTCCCCCCAGGGAAGGATAATATTTCTGGGAAATTGATTAAAGATAAGAATGCACATTTGAAGGATATACTGACCAAAGGGAAATTGCACACTTTTTCAGATTTAAAGAAGATTTTTTTTTTTTACATTAGATGAGTAGCGGTATGGCCAATTAGGGCATTTTGTTTCCATGCTCCCACAACCACTGAGGAGGATCTGTATCCATTTGAAAAACTGTTTAACGTAACTTTAGTTCCTAAACCGGTTACCTCTAGGATTTATAAGATTCTTACGAATATGGAGGGTACCGACCCTCCCCAGTTCTTGGAAAAATGGAAACAGGAGCTTGGAACAAAATTGAATGACCAACAAAAGAATAAAATATTCAAATTAACACATGAGGTGACGAATATGAGCACAGTGGAAATTAATTATAAATGTTTGGTTAGATGGTATATTACACCGAGTAGGGCACATAAACAACAAGCAGATGTTTCACCTTTATGTTGGAGAGGTTGTGGGGAAAAGGGAGCAATGGTACACATATGATGGGATTGCCTGAAAATACAGGATTGCTGGAAGGGAATAATGCAATATATTCAGGAAATAGAGAGACCCGTGGATGTGTTTATTTTATAAATTTGAGCCTTTGGTAAAACTACATAAGAACAAGGTATTATATCATCTAATCAGTGCGGCTAAGGGCCTGATTCTCAAATTTTGGCTATCCCCAGACCCACCAAGAATAAATGCTTGGGTTAACAGAGTGGAAAATATCTACAGGATGGAGGAGTTGTGTCATATTGAGGAGGATAGAATAGAAAAAATTTTGGAAAATGTGGAGTAGCTGGCTGGTTACATTTTAAAACATCTAAAAGATATCTGGAACTGGCTGGAGTATAGGTGGAAAAGTATTAGAGGGAGTTTTAATGGAGTACCCAACAGAGTGAAGGAGATAGGAGGGAAGGGATGTAGATAGATAACTATGAGAAAGGATAGAAACTAGGAAGTTGAATGTGGACTGGGGCAATTGGAGGATGGGGGGCAGGGGATAAGATGATGCAAATGGAATGTATGTATTGGTGAAGGTTTGTTTTATTTTTTTTGTTCTTTTTTTGTGTGTATTAGATGTTGTTTTTTTGTATTGGAAAAATTTAATTAAAGATAATTTTTTAAAAACAAAAAAAAAAAAACCTTCCCAGGCCAAATTTTCCTTTACATTGTTGTTGGTAAATGTAAATGAGATTGTAAAATCAGAATGCAATGCAGTTAACCAGCTTAATAACTTCAGTACCAGAGTATTTTCATTTTATTCTGGCAATGTTTCGATTCCATATGTAATATTATATATATATTTCTTTATTTTTTATTTTTTTTAGGTTTTATAGATTACCCTAACATATTATACAGTACATGGTTGAGTGATTATTGGAACACATACAGCTTTATTTGGTAGCAATTTTGGATACATGTATTTTTGTGCTGAGAATGAATAACAAAATATTTAGAAATTTAATTTTTACACTATTTTTTCAACCCAGATTTTGTGTAATTTGTGTATCCCCTTTATACCCCCATACTTACCCCAAAATGTAATTTTAAAAAGTCTCTTGATTAAAATGATATCACATTAGGTGACTTTTATGTAACATAACAGAATGGTATAGCTCAATGTGAACAACAACAACTTTGGTGCTTTTGCTGTGAATTGTGAGGATGAATTGATTCACAATGCCTGCAGCTACAGAGATGAGTTAGAACTTGTTTTAAAGCTCATTTACTGTTTTTAAATATATATTATTTGATTTTGCAAACCTAGCTATGGTTACACTCTAAAAAATAAGAACTAATTTAGCATGCATAAGGGGCATAATATATGGATCCAATAATATGTTGCAACAGTAGGTTGTCAAAAATATATACACAAGGTTGAGGTTCAGATGCATACATCATTGCACCTTTAACATTACAGTAAATATTTCAAGGGTTTTGTCCCTTAAAATATATTATGTTGCTCTTATCAGTTATGCAACTGGCACAATGTTTTCCTCTAACTGCATTTAAAATCCAAAAACTTTAACACTAAAATTCCATATATTTTACACATTCTGTTCCTCACAATGATACAAACTTATAGTATTACAGCAACCAAAGGATTAAAGTAGAACTCTACACTCTGCACATATGTCCCACTTTACCGCTACAGCTCCAGATGTCTTTCTACTTGTTCAACCAAGTAATTTGCTATGATTTTCATGAAATAGACCAGGTCCAGGTGTCAACAGAGTTAAAAAAAAAAAAAAAAAAGCCCCTGCATTGATGGTGGACAAAATGTCTTTGCAACAGTGCTGCCACTGGTACAAAAGCCCCCAGATCATGGTGAAATGTATCATGCATTGGTCTTATGGATCTGGTAAGTAGTGTTCCAACTTTGCTCCAGTGTACTGTATAATTAAGTGCATATACAATTTGCCTCATACTGTAACCACAAACATAATGCCCACTTTAAGTTTTATAAGTATAAAAATACCTGCCTTTCATTACAGAAAAAGAAACAGGAACTATACATTTCCTTATTCCCGTGATTTAACCTTGGAGTTTAAATGATAGAATTACCTGTTACTTTACCTCACAAGAAGTAGGGTATTGCCTAGAGGCTGCTGCACTGTCATATTATCCTTAAATGATATAAACATGGAATGACAAGAAAATGAAGCAAACAGTATGTTTAGTTGTGATGATCACCAATTAATTATTTCTTGCACACATTAGACTATCACAAACAAAATGAATTTAACTGATGGTGGCAATAGCCCGTTTCATGAAAATGCATCTATATGGGGCAACAGCTTAAAAATGCATTCATTGCCAATTGGCAGACTAGGAGAACAACATAAAAACACCATTAATGAAGCTCTGAATACAACAAGAAAGCAATATCCTATCTTGGTTAATATGGTTAACACAAGCAGTAATATGGTCTATACAGGTAGCTTTTAGTATAGGGCAGTGCAGTGTTGTATGAGTTAAAATATCACTTCAGTAATGTGAGAGTAGAGCAATGCTAACATGTTGCATTCAGAAAAGCACTTAAGACTGTTGCTGTCACAGCTCAAATAGATAACAATGCTTATTTCTGAATCCTCTTTCCAGCAATTTGTTCCTTTTTTCATGTCTTCGAATTTAGTTTTCATATAGCAATGAGGCACAACAGGCTCTGTATTGTTATCCTACAATTACACACCTCAGGTGTGTTGCGAGACACGAGGCCGAAGGCCAAGTCACTTCCACCACCTGAGAAGAGTAATTGTAGAACAACAATGCATGCCCTGTAGTGCCTTGTTGCTTTTGTAAAATAGATCTATACTGGTGAAAGGTGTTTTTATTATTTGTTGTCTGTTTTCTGACATTTAGGATTTCTAAAGCTTGGTTTTCATGTTGGCACAAACTGATACTCAATATACAGTTCTATAGTGTAAATAAATTACACAGGGCTGCTGTTCACTCACTTTTGTATTTGTTCTAAAGTGAATATGTCTGATCCATGGAGAAAATACTCGACTCAAATGACTTCTAGGTCTTTAAATTGGGGCGTTAAACATAACAAAATGCTTGTA